TAATTCAGAAACTTTTATGCATTTTCTCAGGAGTGTTAGAAGACTTCAACATACCTCCAAATACTCTTACCCATAAAATTATGTCACTTAAAAAACACTTACTAAGTTTTTCCAGTTCTTGACGCAAAGTTTGGCATTCTCGGCTTTCATTTACAAGTCTCTCCTGACTCTGGGACAGCCTCTTCTCTACCTCAAAGTATTGTTGTTCTGAGGGAAAAAAAAATTGCAATGTCACAATTTGTTTACATTTTGTTCATGTAAATATAAAAATGTAAAGTATTTTAATAGTAAACTTTAATTTCCTGAGGCTTCAAAGGGGGAAAAGTAATGGAAAGTAGAGAATTTAAATAAACGTGAATAAAATCAGAGAGCTGGGAGCAGTTATTTCACCTCCTTCACTTGAGAGATGAAGAAATCAGATCCAAAGAATTTAAGAGACTTACCTAATGTTACACAACTAGCTACTGTCAGAGCCAGGAACTGAAAACTCAAGTCAAACTTCTAGTACAATATTCTTTCAACTACTCCCAGATAATTTACATTTAAGTCTTTTAAAAGGTTCTTTTAATGATTTTAAAATGTATTACGGCAGTAGATCAAATTCCAGAAGAAATGAATCCTTAGAAGCCACATACTGACTTAGAAAACCACAGATTAACATTATTGATGTATTCTATTTTTACTTCTTTTGTTAAAAATTTCTCAATTATATTTTAATCTGGTTTAGAACAGTAGTTTGACACCTGTGTACTACAGCATTAGCCACTGATGCTTTATCTTGGTGTGGAGCTGATTCTGGATACCTGAGAGTTATGCCAATGGAGACTGGCACACAGTAGGCCCTTAAATACTTATAGAATAAAGACATCTTCAAAGACAGGCTTGAAAGCATATTATGTCATCTGAGTACCAAGCTAGCAGCTGGCACAGAGTAGGAACTCTGCACAAAGTAGGTACTTAAACAATATGGAATTGATTCATTAATGAGGAATTGATCAGCTTTAAGGGGATCAAAGGCTTCTTGTAGAGATGGTGTTCAACCTGAACGTTGAAGGAAACTAGATCTTCCAAGGAAGGAGAGACTGCCTTGCAGTAATACGGAAAGAAACTAATCTGGAGATCCTAGATATGATCTTGGAGCTGCTGTTGTTCATTGAGCAGGCGAGTGACATGGTCAGAGCTGTCTTTAAAGAACACTCAGCATTTATGTGGAGGATAGATTGGAGAGAAAAAAAAAACACTCGTGGGGTGGTGGTGGTGGGAATTGAAGGGACAGAGAATTAAGAGGCTACTGAAATATTCCAGAGGAGAGGTAATGAAGGCCTCATTACATCAATCTGTGTTGGTGCTGCTCTACAAGATTATAAGTTTCTCAAACACAGGGGCAGTGTCTAAGATAAATTTTTTCCTTCCTTACTACTCTGTGTGTTGAATATGTACTTACTATGTGTGTTGCTATAATTCCATACTGCAGAGGCAGTATGAATAGAGAGAAATCTAAGGATGAGTATAAAGTAAAAAGACTGACCCAGGAAAAATGGCCCCTTTATGTATAACACTAGAAAACGAGGTAGCAATTCTTAACCTGGGGTCTACAGACTGCCATGGGGAAGAGATTTCAGGGAGTGGGTTGTGAATTCAGATGGAGAAAAAAACAACAACAACAAAAAAAATGCCATATCTTTGACTAATCTTTAACTGAAATTTATCATTTTAAAAAAATTATGAAAGGGTTCCATAACACAAAAAAGGTTAAGCACTTCTGGTTCAGATGAATTGCTAATCCAAATGAACTAAGTCTTCTGTAGGACAAAGTTTTAATGCTATTTTTGTTGATCTGAGTCATTTTGTATTACACCATCCAGCTTAAACTCTCTCTTCATCTCAAAATCTCTGGACATCTCTGGACCCCATTCTGGATTCCCTTCCCCCAGCAGTCTCTGATAATGAGGTGGCTCTTCTCCTTGCCAAGGTCAACATCTCTACACACATTTGATCCCTTCCCCTCTCCTGTCTTCCCCAAAAGACAGCAACCTCATTTGTATAATCTTCCACTTCTACCTATCTACAGGTAACTTTCCCACTGCCTCTAGCCATGTCAATAACCTACCATCCCTTAAGCTACTGCCCTATACCTCCTCTCCCCTTCTCAGCCAAACTCCCAGAAAAAGTTATTAGTACTTCTCTTTCTCCTCAACTCTTTGCAATCTGGCTTCTGACCTTATTACTCAACTAAAACTGCTCATGCCAAAATTCCAAATGGTCTCTTAATCGTCAAATCTGATGGTCAGTCCTCATCCTTTATGACCTGCTTCATTTCACACTGTTGATCACCCTTCTCCTCCTGGATACCTCTTTCCTCTGGGTTTTTGTGACACTGTTCTCTTCTGGTTCTCCTCTTAACTGTCTGACTTCTGCCTTTCTATTGCCTTTTCTGGTTCATTTCATTTCCCCTAAACGTGAGTATCAATTAAGGTTCTTCTCTTGTCTCTATGTCCTCTTCAGCACTCGTGGGTTTAATTACTGCATCCATGTAAGTGACTTCCAGATCTACAAATCTACCTCAGTATCTTCCCTGAACTTCAATTCCGGATCACCAAACACCTAATGAACAGTTCAAGCTATACGTCTCCCACAGACATCTCAAACTCAGTACTTTCTTTCAATTCAAACTCTTCCATCTTCCAATATTTCGTACTCTGTCGAAGACACAACCATTTTTCCAGTCCTCCTACACTTGTAACCTTGGTACCATCCCAGACTCTCAAACCTCCCACTCTACATATCCAATCAGCTGTGAAATATTGCCATTTCTATCTCCACATTCTTCACATCTGACCCCTTCTCTTAGCTACCTTACTTCAGGTCCTCTTCATCACTTTCGTAGATTTTTTTCCTTAAGTACAGTTGAACCACAGCACTCCCCTATATCATGAACTCCAGTGCTCCTTGACTGCCTCCAGAATAAATATAACCTCCTGATCCGCTTTTAAAGCTCTTTATAATCTAGGCCCAACTCATCTGTCCAGGTTCAATGGATTTTACTCCCACCCCTCACACTCTGACCTTCAGCCAAAGTGACCTTAGTCACAACACTGTATCTCCCATCTCTCTGCCTGTGCACTGGCGACATTCCTTTGCCTAGAATATACTCTCTCCTTCTTTCTTAAAGAATCCCTTTCCTCTTCCTCAGACACAATTCAAGTATCACTTTCTACACAAAGCCCTTCTTGATTCCTCCAGCTGCTAGTACCCTTCTTTAGTACCGTTCTTTCCTAAATTACTTTGTATTTATTCTCTGTATATTTCTTCCATCCGTCCTTATGTTTTAAAGCTTCAATAGCTTAAAATTGCACTAAGATTTTTGACCTATGTGTCTCCCCTAAATTGGAACGTAAGCTCCAGTCGTTTCATTCTTTGTATTTGTATCCTTATCGTTTGGCCCACAGAAGCTTTATTGATTGAATGGTTGCTCCTCTTAAGCGTATTCCTTACAGAAGCAGGCAAGCTATCGTTTACCTCAATAGGGCATGATAGAAAACTCAACCTGGAGTCAAAGGACTTGTATCCAAATCTTAGCTTTGCTACGTAATTATTTGTATGGCAGAGGGACAGGCCTCGGGTTTTCACATCTGTAAAATGCCCAGGTTGGCCGGGACGATCCTTAAGGTTTTACTGATATTAAGTGTAAACAGCTAGGGATATCACCTCCAAGAGGTCCAGGTTGGGAGGGGGCAGATCCTTGAACCACGCTGGTTGCTGAGCGTGGATGCGCGCGTCGGGGCACCGAGTGGAGAAGGCCTTTTCCTGCCGCTAAATCCGGCAGCTCCCACGCAAGGCCCGGGGAGGGAAGGCGAGGGGGCGGGAAGAGCTCCTCGAGCGGGATCACTCGAAGGGGGGGAGTTCAGATGACTCACTCACCGCTTTCCACCTTGAACTTCTCGTGCCGCCCCTTCAAGCAGTCGATCTCACTCTGCTGGTCCGCCAGGAATTTCTCCAATTTGGCCTGGACGGGCTTGGGCAGTTTGGTCAGCTCCTGCCGCTCCAGGACCTGCTGCAGCACCGCCGCCATGTTGCCAGTGTCTAGATCTCCAGGAGGGGAAGCTGGGAGAGGGACCGCAGGCAAGGACAGGGAGGCCGAGGCGGAGGCGGAGGCCGGGGCCGGGGCCCGATCCGGCGCCGGAACCTCCTGCGCTACGCTCACGCGTGCACCCGACTCCCTGAGGCTACCTCGGCGAGACCCTGGGAAGCCAAGGCACGGGCTGGAGAAGAAACCTCGACTCCCCGCCCCGGGGATGCGCGCGCACGCCCCACCCCCTTTCTCTCGCGCGGCTGGCGCTCAGACGGATTCCCTCGAGCACCTTGGGAAACCGAGTCTAGAGGAAGGCTTGATTCCTGGATGCGCGCGCACCCTTCTTGTTGCCTCCCCACCCCCACCCCACCTCCTTCACAGCATGCGCACAGAACGGCGGGAAATGTAGTAGTCTTCTCCATCCCATTTCTGTTCCTCGTGCGTCACGCCAACTGCCCCTCCACCCTCCACCTCCAGCATAGTCCAGGAACCCAATCCCCTTCTCCCTCCAGGCGCTTCACCTCCCCTTACTTCTGTGTGTGAAAACAGTCTGTGAGGCGGGGCGGGGCTGGGCGGGGCTGGGCGGGGCGGTGGTACTTACTAGTTAACTCGCGTCCCGCCCCAAGGAGCCGAGAGCCCTTTTCATTGAGGCTTCGGGACGTCATGGGTCGTCGTCTTCGGGTGCTCCTACTCAGAGAGCCGCTAGAGGGCATCAGTCCCGGAGGGCCGGAGCGGAGCGGCTGGTGCCGCTACCGCCACACTCTCTATGGCCGTCCGGAAGGGGGCGGGAGGGACAGGGGTCGCCTCCCTATAGTAGTAGGGAAGATTAGGGTAAAGGGCGGGGCTCCACTTTCCTAAGTCAGTTAGAAGGCACAGTCACGTGCGTCATCAGGTCGCGCCAGCTGCTCTCCCCTCCCCCATCTCGGAAAAGCGGCTAGAGGCCGGAGGCGGGGGGCGGGGCGGTATCTTCCCTCTGTACACGCGACACTGAGCGGCTAGGACGGAAGCTGGGGCTGCTGAGGCAGTAGCTGCAGCCCCCATCGCCACCCCCGGGGCCTGTGGGCGCGCCCATCTCCCCCACATGTGAGTCAGCCCGTCGTGGGGCTGAGGCGGGAAGCTGGGCCCTAGAGAGAAGGGAAGGCTGCCCGGAGTTGGGCTGTAAGCCCTGGGAATAGGCCGGAACAGAAGGGCGAGAGCCTGTCATCTGGAGTGGGGGGTGGGCGTGGGGGCGGCCGAGAAGGCGGGAAAGGGATTGTCGCGAACGTCCAGTATTTTATGCAGATAAAGAAACTGAGGCCTTGGGGGTAGGAGGGGCAGTGGTTGGGCCACTCTTGACACACAGCTTGTTAATAGTGGAGTCAAACTGGGACCCTTGAGAACGAGCTCTTTGGCATCTTGATTTTCATAACGAGGAGGAAAGAGTGGTTTGGATGGTACTTCGGTTGTGACACATTAGTCTTTGGAGCTAGGAGGAACATTGAAGAATATTCAGCCCCACTCCATTATATAAAAGTGTGTTGGCCCATGAAATGAAGAAACTTTAGTCACTTGCCTAAGGTCATATTATTGTTTGAAGTGTTTTTGGTTGTTCTGGGGGCACTTGCTGTTCAGTTCAGTATTCATCATCCACCCTGTGAAGTACTGTACTGGCTTTTGGGTAAATTTCAGTTAAAAGATAATGGTCCTTGACTTCAGGAAACTTACAGTTTAGGAAGATAAAACTCATACACAAAAAAACCCCATAATACAGATTCTTAAAGCATAAAACTATACCAAGGTTTTTGGGTCACTTTTTTTGTATCCCATGCCTTTGAACTTGGCTGTCTGGCTCACTTCTGGAATGCTCTACCTCTTCACCTCTTTCTCTTGGATTCTCTGGCCTCCTTCAAGAGTTGGTTCAAATGCCAATTGCATGTGGTTTTTCCTAGAAATCTTCCATCTTATCCCCGAACTCCCCTCCACCTGTGTACCTCGTATGTGTCACCTACTTTCCTTGTGATCTTTCACTTTAGAATTGTGAACTTCTTGAGGTCAGGAATACTATTTTTGCCTTTATTTTTGTCCTCAGAACTTATCCCAGTGCCTGGTACAAATGTAGTAAATGCTTAATGAATATTTATTGACTGGCTGAAATACATCCGTAGAGATGCTTAACAAAGTATATGAAGGGAAAGGTCATTTCTGACTTGGGGCATGAGGTAATACTCATGGGTCACTTCCACCATCTGTTGCCTTTATTCTACTGATGAATGAAGTTGGAGAAAAATCACAGAACTGAGCTGACTGTGTCCATTACAAATTTGTTACATAATTTCAACTAAGCCCTCTATGCTGCAAGGCAGTCATTTTACACCTCACTAGTTAAATCAATTTTCCCTTCAACATAACATGCCCTTCCAAACCTTTTCATCCTTCCTCAAACCTCTCCTGGCTCTTCCTCCTTTTCCCTCTACCCTCTCATCTGAGAACCTGGTCTCATACTGCTGAACAAATTGAGGCCATTTTCTGAGAGTTCTCTTCCCTGTTCCTCATCACATATCACCCAGGTGCCTTCTCCCACTATCTCCTTCACTTCTGTCTCACATAATATAAGGTGGTCCTTCTTGCTAACAAAAGCCCCTCTACTTGCCCAAGTGATCCCATTCCATCCTATTTACTCCAGCAGATTTCTCTCTATCATCCCCAATCTCTCACTTATATTCAGTTTCCCTGTCTGTTGATTGCTTCCTTGCCGCCTATAGATATGTCTTCTCCGTTCAGCTAGGTGGTTCAGAAGACAGAGTAGTAGACCTGAAGTCAGGAAGATCTGAGTGCAAATTCAGCCTCAGATAGTTACTAGCTGTGTGACCCTGGGAAAGTACTTAAACTTCATTTGACTCAGCTGTAAAATGAGGATAATAATAGTACCTACTTACCAGGGTTATTGTCAGGAGGTAATATTGTAAAGTGCTCAGCATAGTGCCTGGCATATTAGTAAAAGTTCGATAAATGCTTATTTCCCTTCCTTCCTTCCTATTTTCCTTCTTTCTCTCACTACTTTCTTCCTTTCTTCTCTTCAACATACTCTCACTTGATCCATCCATCCATGCTAGCTATCATACTATATGTTCTGCCTCTTATGACTAAATTCCTTGAGAAAGGCATCCATAAAAAGTGTTTCCATGTCTTTTCTTTTCATTCTCTTCTTAACTCTCTATAGTCTGGCTTCTGACCTGATCATTTGATTGAAATGTCTGTAACCAAAGTTATAATGATCTTTTAAATTGCCAAGTCAAATGGCCTTTTCTCAATCCCATCCTTTGTGACTTCTTTCCTAGCCTTGGACACTGTTGATCACCCTCTTCCTGATATTCTCTTTTTTCTAGTTTTTTGTGACACTAATCTGTCCTGGTTCTCTTCCAGCCTGTTAGACTGCTCCTCAGTCTCCTTTGCCAGATCCTTATCTGACTCATGCTTATTGAGTTTGAGGGTCACCCAGGGCTCTGTCCAGAACCTTTTTTTCCTTCTCCCTTTAACACTATTTCATTTGGTGATCTCACTATCTCCCCTGGATTCAATTATCATCTCTATTTAGATGATTCTCAAATATACTCATCTGGGCCTAACTTTTCAATTGTCCTCTGGTCTCACATTTCCAACTGCCTATTGAATATCTTGAACTGTATGTTCAACTCAGCATGTATAAAACGGAATTCATTATCTTTTTCCCCAAGCTTCCCCTTGCAAACTTTTTTATTACTGTTACAGATGCCACTCTCTCCCAGTCACTCAGGCTCACAACTAGGTGTCATCCTCTCTCACTCTTAGACTGCCCCTCTCTTCTCCAATGTCCAGTATTTTGTCTGTTGATTTGGCCTTTGTTACATCTCTTGCATGTGTCCACTTCTTTCCCCTAACTCTGTCACCATCCTGGTGCAAGCCCTCATCATCTCATACCTGTAATATTGCAGTAGCCATCTGGTTGGTCTTCCTGCCACAAGTCTGTCCCTACACTAGTCCATTCTCCATTTATTTGCCAAAGTGATTTTCCTAAATCGCAGGTTTGCTCTGTCACGCCCATAAACTCCAGTGGCCCCCTATCATCTCCAGGGTCAAATACAAAATCCTCTTATTTAAAACCCTTCATAACCTTGGCTTCCCCATCTCCACCCTTACCATGTACTCTTCTATCTGGTTACATTGGCCTCCTTGTTGTTCTGGGGAACATGAGACTCCCATCTCTCAGCTCCAGGCATTTTCACTAACTGTCCCCCATGCCTGGAATGTTCTTCCTCTTCATTTCTACCCCCGACTTCCTGCAAGTCCCAGTTAAAATCCCACTGTACAGAAAGCGTTTCCTAATCCCACTTAATTCTAGTCCCTTCTCTCTGTTCCAGCATATCATATATGTAGCTTGTTGGTATGTTGTTTCCCCAGTAGACTGTGAGCTGCTTGAGAGCAGGAACTGTCTTTACCTTTCTTTGTATTTCCAGCACTTAGCATGGTGCCTGGAACGTAATAGGTTTTTAATAAATATTTATTGACTGACTGACATTACTTTCTATGGTATTATGGAAACATTTTAAAATTGTAGACTGAATTACTTAATTTCTTAGATTTTGAAATAGGTCAGCAGTTCTCAAATGGTTTGTGGACCTTTTGGGGACTCTGAGACCTTTTCCAGGGTCTGCAAAATCAAAACTACTTTCATAATCATACTCAGATGTTATTTGCCTATTAAAATACTACTCTTTTTTCCAACTTCATTTCTCTGTGAGGCTGAATTTTCTTCATGTACTTCAACCAAAATAAGATGTTGAAACAGTTTGAGTACAGAAACTGATATGGGTCTTCTGTTAAGCCAGACTTCGGAGATTTGCAGAAAATATATTAATGCCACCTCATAAAAATGTTATTTTTGTTAATATGTAAAATGAGTTTGTTATTTTCAAATAAGTTAATACATATTTAAAAAATTTATCAGTTTTAATTTTCTAATATGGTAAATATCAGTTGATATTACCCACATAAACAAAAACTCAGTTTTTGAGAATGTAAAGGAGTCTTGAGGCCAGAAAGTTATCAGTTTTAAAAACCTCTGAAATAGAAAAAAGAATAATATAGATCTTAATAGATGCTTGTGGATTGTTCCCTATATCTAGTCCTGTTCTCTTCTTGAATTCCTATCCCACATCACCTATCTGTTGGACATTTCTATCTAAACTGTCTATCCTTCAGGCCTGAATGATCTTAAGGGCATCGAGGTGGCATGGTGGCACAGAGTGCTGTATCTGGAGTCAAGAAGACCTGAGTTCAAATAAAGCCTAAGACATTCCCTAGTGGTGTGACCTAAGTCACTTAACCTCTGTTTGCCTCAATTTCCTCATCTGTAAAGTGTGGATAATAAAAGCACCTACCTCCTAAGGTTGTTGTGAATGTCAAAGGAGGTTTTTAAAAAACTCAGCATAGTACCGAGCACATAGTAAGTGCTATATAAACGTTAGCTATTATTATCATTACCTTTGTTCTTACTGTTACTTCTGTTGCCATTATCCACTTCCATATTCATGAACTCTCATATTATAGTCTTTTATCAGTCCAATCAGTCTTTCCCTATGCCTTAAGACGATAACCCCTGTTCTTCCCCTTCTCTATGACCTCCAGTCCTTCTACCCCGCAGCTCTCTCCCAGGCTATCACTCCTGTACTTCTTGTATTCTCCCTGGGCATCTTGACTCAGGGGTGAACCATTTCAATTCCACACTCTCTTTTGCTCTTGTGTCCCTTACTCCTTTATCATATTGCCAATTGTGCCTTTCTAAGTTCCAAACTTGTATTCCTCCTGCCGTCCTCTGCTTTGGTCCCTGTTCTCATGTTGCTGAATGCAGCTGGAGAAAGTCATGAAACTATGCTAACTGGGTCCACTGCAAATTCAGGCAGTGATTTGATCAGATCTATGCTTTAGAATGAAAATCACTTTGGCACTTGAATGAAGGGTGGTTTGGAGAGGGTAGAGAGACTTGAGATGGGGAGACCAATTAACAGGTCCTTGTAGCAGGCTTAGCAAGAGGTTATGAGTGCCTGAACTAGTTTGGTAACTATGTTAATCACTCAACAGGCATTCATTAAATTTGACTTGTGTCAAACTAGGTACTTTGCTAAACCTGGGGATATATAGAAAGGTTCCTTCCTTCAAGGAGTTTGTATTCTAATGGAAGAGACAACATACAACAAATTATACTTACAATGTGATTACAATAAAAATGTTCACACAATATGACTGCAATAAGTTGGACTTGGTAATAATAATAAAGATTGATGAAGTAATCTTCAAAGGAAGAAAGTTTGCTGAAAGGTGGTGGAAAAGGAATGGTCTGGAAGTTGGAGTGATCCTACTCTTCCTCTGGATCCTGTACTTTGGAGGCCATAAGAGAAGAGAGTGGTGTTGGAGGGGCGGCCAGGGATGCAATGTCTTGAGAGAACTAGGTTTCTGTTAGTGTAAGAAGATAGAATGGAATGTGAATAGATACAAAATAAAAGGGAGTTAAATAATAAAGTGTGGGTAGGGGCTCCATAGGGTTTAGTAGAATGAGAAGTAAAAGGATATGGCAGCACACTATGGGTGGAGTTATATAGTCCCTACTATATATCAGGCACTATGCTAAGCATTTTACAAATATTATCTTTTTGATCCTCACAACAATCTGGGAGGTAGGTGCTATTATTATTCTTATATTATAGTTGAGGCAACTGAGGGAAACCAAGGTTAAATGACTTCCTCATAGTCCCATAGCTAGTATTTATCTGAAGTCAGATTTGAACTTGAGTCTTCCTGAGTCCAGATCCAGTGCTCTTATCTACTGCACCATCAGCTGTCTCAGCATGCTATATAAATGCTAGCTTCTAGCTATTGTTAGCTGTTTAAGTTGTAGGTAGGACCAAGGTAGATAAGGATTAGAGTACTGGGAGAGGAGGAAGAGGAGTTTGTCACCTCTGCAGATGCTGAATCTGAATGACAGGGCTAAGGAAAGCAAGATCAGGGAAGTTACCTTCAGTTGCTTGAGGAGTGACCAGTTGATAAAAGCTTCAGTTCTCTAGGGTCCTGTGATGATTGAATACAATCACTATTACCTGTCAGCACTTCTGACTCTCAAAGTCTCAGGTTCACTTACGGCTATGAGAGCCTCTTAGTGGAGGAAGAAGTTCAGTATAAGTCAGCTGTATGCATGATGTTTAAAAAAACCTAATGCTCTATTAGGCTGCATTAAGAGAGCCATTTCTTCCAGGAATAAGAAGTGATAGTTCTTCTGCACTGTCCCCTGGTCAGATTGTATCTGAAGTGTTATGTTTACTTTGGGGCACCATGGTTTAAGAAAGGAAGAAAGAATTAAGTTTATAACTTTTGATGACTCCAGCTTTCATTCAATAAGCATTTTCATTATCTTCTATGTGCCACTCAGTCCAATTAAGCTAGCCTTCTTAGTGTTCTCGTATACAACATTACCTCCTGAAATGCATTCCCTCCTTCCCTCTGTCTCTTAGAATTTTCGTTTCCTTTGGATCTCAGCTCAGACACCACCTCCTCCTACATGACACTTTTCCTGATCTCACCCAGTTGCTAGTCTTTCCAGCCTCCCCCTCCCTATTACCTTGTATTTATTTTGTATGTACTTATAATGTGTGTATGTAAACTACTTAAGATCAGGGACAGTTTAATTTTTGTCTTCATAGGTGTTTAATAAATTATTGATGATTGTTTGCAGGGTACTATGCTAGGTGCGGGAATTACAAAAGCAGAAATGAAACAGGCCCTTATTTGAAGGAGTTTGTAGTCTTTTGGAGACATTACTTCTCCCTGAAACAATAGGCCTATCTTTTTTTAATACCAGTGTTCCTCCGTATTGTTATTTTATTTGTTGCTTTATGACAATTTCTGTTCTGTCTTCTCTCATTTATAGAACTTTTTAAAGATCTGAGACGTTGAACATAATATTGATAAGCTTTGAATAATGGGAAGAAGCTACATAGTAGAAGAAGCTGTTGGACAATACCTTTTAAACTTCAGCAACCAAGAAAAGGCATTTGTCTCTGGTCTTTTGATAGGACAGGTATGTTTATTTTAGGTATGTATTTTTTTTTTATGGGACAGGTGTGTATCTTTTAGGTATGCATATTTTAGTCTCAAATTCATTAATATGACTAAGCTTTTGGGGTTAAAAGTATGATATAACACATTGAATACCCAGGGTCTTAATTAGCTTACTTTAGGCAAAATGATCCCTCTACACTCCCTTTACTGTACCATCCTTTCCTCATCCTTCCACTTGTACATTTCCTCTTTTCCCACTCCTGTTTTAAGGGACAGTTTCTGTTTAAGTGGAAAAATAGTTTTGTAAATGTTCTTTTATCATGTTAATTTATAGCAAGCAAATGGTGCAGTTCATTAATTGCTTTTAAAGCCTGTCTGTTCTGCTCTTCTTCCTATATATTTTTCTACCTCGTTTTTCGTATTTACTGACCTTACCTTCACTTCTGTTCTCTCTTATTTATCTTTTTACTTGCTGCTTAACTCCTCACATTTTTTTCTCTCCCTTTGTGGACAGATTTTTTCTTATACTTGAATATGATGGAAAGGGCACTGAACTTGGAGCCAGGATAGACATGGCCTTGAATTTCAGCTATGATATTGACTATCTTGGTCATTCTGGGAAAGTCATTTGTCTTCTCTGAGCCTCAGTTTTCTCATCTGTAAAATGGGACAATACTACTTAAACTACCTGCTTTATAGAACTACTACAAAGACAGTGCTTTAAAAACTATAGAAATATGAACTATTTATCCTCCTCCTATTTCTTTCACCAGAGATTGGGATGGAATTAGGGAGCAGGGAAAGAGACATAGGGGATGACATCCATTTTCTTGTAGGTCTCGGAGAAAACAGGAAAAAATAGATCAAACCTAGACATTTTATTAATTTAGAAGATAATCCTTTTCCAATGTTTCCCTTAGAAATAGAAAAAATAAACACCTTTCTGTACGCTTTACAATATTTTTTGTTGGTTTTAACTCAATTTTACTGCTTCTCCAAAGCATTTCTTATATTGCTCACCCTTACTACCTCCCTTTGAAGAACCATGAATCTATAATATATTAAAAGTTAGAAATAATGGCAAAGCTAGAAATTTTAAAAACTGAGACAAAAGCTTTTGGTCCATATTTTTCCATATTTGTTTGTTATCAAGATGAATCAGAACAAGGACTGTAGAACAGGATGTTTGTTATACTATGTATATTTATTGAATTTATTCTGTGTGTACTCTAGTGACCAACTGACCATATATTTGATTTTTTTTTAATATTTAAAATTGTATTCTTTGAAGTTCAGGACTGTGTTGTTTATTTTTAGCCTGTTTTATAAAGTATATTTTGTTCAGAGTTTCCCTTTTCTCTCTTGCAGATCTTGGCAAAGGCCAACGGTCTGTATACTCTCTCTGTTTCTCATGACCCTGGGCTTGTCCTCATATTGCTATCTTCTCCTTTAAGTGTTTTGCTTGGGTCCAAAATTTGGTACTATTATACCCTTCCTTGTTGAAATTTACCTGTCCTGAATCTCCTTGACTTAGGGTCAGGGTCTTTTTTTTTTCCCCCAAAGTAATAAGTAGCCATTCTATACTAATGAGAAGAGGCTTCTCAACCAAGATTTTATTCTCCCATACCTCCTGGCCCAAGAATTTGTACAGTGTAACAGTTAGTCAATTTTAACACTAATCAGTTTTCCTTCTTATTTGAAAACCATTCATTTAGCCAATTCTTGATTATTGAAGGTTTTAATAATACCAGCAGTAAACTTGTGATTAAGACAATTCAAATTCAAATCAAATTTTTCTGTTAGGTCTAGTAAGAGGTTTGTTGAGGTAGGTCAAGATTTTGTCTATACTGAAATTTTTGGATTAATTAGGTTTAAATTATCAATACAATTTTCAACTATCACTGAACACCATTGATATTTGATTGTAATGCCGCCATCATCATCATCATCATCATCATCATCATCATCATCATATTTAGGATTTTGTAGGCTAAGTCTCTCAAAAAATATGTTTGTGATTATGAAGAGAAAGTATAACAAGTAGGAAAGCTATGTCCAAAACTTTAACAATTACAGCTGTCCAAAAATGGAATAATATTCCTTGGGATGTGGTAGATTTCCCCTCATTGGACTCTTTCCATAAGAGGATGATAACATCTCCAACAAGCAGGAGGGGGCATTTTGGTCAAGCATGGGTTGGACTATATGACTTCTGAGCCCCTTTCAAACTCTGAGAGTCTGTGAGTCCAGGAACAGAAAACCTTGTAGACAGAAGCTTTTTAAAATCCCTTTTTTATGATTATGAACCGACAAACATGGAAAAGAACAGAAAAGAAAGATTCTATAGAGCACCATGAATCTCTATTTGTTCATCATGAGTTTTTTAAAAACATAATGCATTTGGCACAGTACTTGCCACCCTGTTTTTGTGTCATTTCCTAAACTTTCTGCTCTCTTCCTTTCCTTGTGCTGCTCACTTCACTCAGTGTTGGTTTATAGGATCATGATCATTGGATCACATATTTGGAGATGGCCATCATACAAGACCTCTTGGGTTTTATCCTTTTTGTCATTTATTGTTCATTAATTTTCCATTACATTCATATAGTTTATTTAGTCATTCCTTAGTTAATGAGTGGGGTTTTTTGTTTTTTTATTTGCTGTAATCAAAAGTGTTATGAGGATGAGGCATTAAAAATATCATTGTATATGGTAACTAATTTGAAAAATTAGAAATTTGTTTTATTGTAAGTTTAATAACTAAATAAATTAATCAACTGGCACATTCATACTACTTCCTTTATATAGGCCATATCTGTATTCTTTAATTAGATGTCACTGATAGTTTTTATTTTATTTTTGTAATATTTTCATTGTGAACTTAAGTGATCAACACAAACATTTCAACAAACAAAAAAAAAGAGGATTGTATATAAAAGCTGTTAATCTTTATTATGTAGTTTCTTTTATATGCATTAAATTTAACAAGGTAGAAACAGAATTACCATTTGTGTTTTATTTTTTAAGTGTTCTTCACAAAGGGATTATGTAGTTCTTGCCACTAGAACACCACCTAGAGAAGAGCAGAATAAAGACACAAGATCTTCTCAGTCACCACTGGATGACCTGGATGAAGAATGGATTACAGCCCATGCCAATCAGGTTGTGCTATTTTATAATATATGTAAATATTACACACACACACACACACACACACGCACATGCACACACATACACATATGTTACATATATGTAATCATAGAATAAATATTAATGCAAAATTAAGCCAGCATTTTATTTTAGTTAATGACATAAAACTAGAATTTTAATATTCATCCTCAACTTTCCGAAAGTGTCAGCACATGTTATTAATAATGATGTTTTTATTCACGTGTATCTTAGCTACCTTGTGGGTTATTTCTTTCAACCTTAAGCTTAGTTCAGCTTCTTTGTTTCCCCCAAGAACTCTTTGTTTTTAAAATATTTTCTTTGCCCAGCTGTAGTGTGCTTAGTCTGTGCAAACTCATTCTAACCATGGACAAATAATTCATCACCTAATGACCAGCTTACTAGTGAAGAGTCTCTTCACATTTATTTATGTTCCTTGGAAAGTAGATACAGTTTTTGCTGGAATGGTACTTGAAGCCTTTTCATTAAAGTAGACCCTGCCAGAGATGCCATTTTGTTGACATAGTCTTCTTGAATCCAGGGTCATCTGTATGCCATGATGAAAAACAGGAATAGAATTTTGTGGAGGACATAGGAATGTTAGCATAAGAAAAATCTAGGTAGGATGGTAAATTTAGTATATAAAAGTGTTATAATCTAGTCCAAATCCAAATGGAATATTTAGATTATATTTGCAAAAGGCACATGTGCTAGTATGGATTAAAGTTTGTATTTAGCACTTCTAGCAAAACTTGGAAGTAAAATAAACGATAAAGATACAGTGAAATTTAACATGGAAAACTCAAGAGGATTTTACAAATGTACTGCAAAATTCACCCATTTTTTCTGGAATACATGAGAAAATTAGTCCATTTTACTTCTAGTTTGTAACTCACATTTTAAAAATCTTGAGTTTATTTTAAAGGTTTCTTTATTTGAACTTAATCATTAACAGATCAAAGTATTTCAATAAATAAAGATCTTTCTTTTGTTCGAGAGCAATAGATTATCCTTAGGTTCTTATGAAGGCCATATATTTGTTGATTTTTAATTGGATAAAGGAGGAAATACTACACTATTCACTACAGTATTTTTCATTACATTGTGTCTTGCTGTAAAGCAAAATTTGTTGTGTGTACTTCCCATACATACTTATTTAGTTTCAACATATCTCATTCTAAGATGGTTTCAATTATAAGGGATCCCATGGCATGGATACCACAGACAGGATATTCCAAAGTACTTAGAGGACAGACAAAATACTCAGTGGCTTTAGCACACTTTGATAATCTAAATTTCTTGATACTAACATCAGTTTTCTGTAGCACCTTGGACAACACTCTAAAATAGTGGTTTCTTAATAAATACTTGGAAGAACGAATGAATAGTATGCCAAATAGGAAGGAAAACTGATTATGAACAAAAAAATCATTGTGCTATAGTTAACATTTTAATTAATTTCTTTATTTAGGTATCTAGAATGCTACCAGGAGGTTTATTAGTTCTTGGAATATTTATTATTACTACTCCAGATCTTGGGAAAGATGTTCAAAATGCCCTACGCAGGGTAGGTAAGAGCATATGAACAATTCTTAATATGGTTTGGGTATGTATTGTTTTAATTAAATACAATTTCATGTGAAGGTCACTGATTGTATTTGGATAACGCTCACAGAATTTTATGGGCTTGTATTATAATTAAATACTTATGCTTTCAAATCTAGTTGCAAGTTGTCGCGATAAAAATCTGTGATGAAAAGAAACTGAAGCTCAAAGTTCTGAGCATGATCATTTATTAGCAAGGCTAGCAGTTGCTAATAAGTGAGATTCCCAAAGCCCCTCAGTGGCCAGAGATGCATTAAATCAGACAGAGCAGTCTTTTATACAGTTGGTAAAGGTAGGCTTACATTTGGCATAATCAGGCTGACTGACTTACAAAAGGTTGTTTCCAAAGTCCGTGGTAAGGGGAAAACACAAAGTTAGTCAACATCATCTGGAAAGTCTAGAAAGTTCTGTGTTAGTGACCATATGCGCCAGAGTGGTCCCGTGGTAGGTTTATGGCCAGGCAGAACATTTTTGAACACGTTGGTGCTAATGAGTCTGGGCTCTAGCCTAGAGAAATGGGAAAGTTAAACTCTTACAAAGAAGTCAAGCCCTCTTATAGACTCTAATGTCAAGTAGTCAAACTGTCTTTTAAATCAAATTAATTCCTAAGTGCTGATTCCAGTGATTAGATACTATTCTCAATTAATAATTAATAAATAATGCAGAATAAACTGGGTTAAAAGTTTTCAACTTTACAAGGTCACAACATTTAAATACTTACCTAGTATGTATAGGGTTCTCTGTTGGACTCTGTGGAGATGTAAAACTAAATGAAATAGTCCCTACTTTCAAGGAGCTTATACTCTACTGTGGTGATACAGTTGAGTAAAGAAAAGATATTTGAGGAAGGAAAGACCACTAATACTTGAGAGGTGAGGGAAGCCTTTACTGAGATTGTGACAGATAACCCATGGCTGAGCCTTGATGTAAGGTGAGGGTGCAGATACAGGAGGAGGCATTCTAGGAATGAGAGAAATGCCTGACAAAAACCCTCATTTGGGAAGTGGAAAGCTGAGCTTGGAGGGCAGCTTGTAAGTCAATTTGGCTGGAACTTAGAGTGAATGAAGTAGAGGAACGTGCAATAGGGATGGGAAGGTAGGTTCATCTCAATTTATAGAGAGCCTTCAAGCCCAAGTTAAGGAATTTCCCCTTTGAATTACCAAAATTAATCTAGCGGTATATATATGCCAGACTTCCCAGAACACTGATTCCTGGGGATTGCTGTAAATATTAGATAGGCAGGTATGGGAATTGAGTGAACCACCTGACTTCATCTTGTGACTCAATTCTGCATCTAGCTGAGTTCCCTTCCTATTCAATTATGGGTCTAGTCCAATTTTTGTTTTGTGAGAAAACTATTCAGTTTGGGGAGTTGTGAGAAAATTTTGTTGCATTGTTTTAACCTAACCCTGCGTGGCTGGGAAGCTGGACCACCTCTACCTATTGCTTAGGGACCCTTAAATAAGGATCCAGGTTATGCTGACCAGAAACCCAATCAGATCCAAATATTGATGCAAGGAATTTTCACATTATTAATCATTATACATCAATGTATAATATAATTATATATCAAGCAGCCCATATATCTTATCTGAAAACTGGCTCCACACTGGTCAATCAGTTATTGTTTCCTTGTTCCTTTGATTGAATACAGACACTTAGAGAGGAGTGGAAGACCTCTTTTCTGATTTCCGGGAATTGTACCTGTTTGCTTTCCCTCTCCTAACTCAGAAAGCCTCTAATGTTTCCTGCAGTTAGAAAGTAGATGACCTAATCTTGTATCCTGGTTTATATTCTTTTGTTTTCTTTTAATGCATAAAAATCTGTTTCCCCCTGTATTCAGGGTCCAGTGCCAAGCTGAGGAGGCCTGGTCCTGATTTGTTATGCAATTGGCATGTATTGCTTAATAAATCGATATGCCTAGAAGCTCGACCCTTTGTTTCCTTAGTCATTTTAGTCAGTTGACGTGTCAAACAGGTGACATAGAATTAGACATTTTTCTCTTTTGTGTTAATAGTTTTGTGGCTCTTTAAATATAACCTGTATCAGAAGTTTTAGAAATTTTATGAGTTTCAGTTATACAATGAGATTCTAATGAAATACTTTTGAAAAAAATTTGGTTCAAGTTGAAACTAATTCTTCATTTCATTTGGAATAACATTACTCTTTTCATTCAAATACTAGTCTAAAATTAATTTATGTTTAACCTATTTTAGATGAAAATAATAGAGTTTAATTTGAATGACATTTATTCAATTAATTATTATCATTTGAGTGCTCTTAAATAATCAGTTATTTTTATCTCCAAGAATGGAATCTAAAGTAGACAGTAGTTGAAATCCTTATTTTACTTTAGCATCAATCTACAATGGTATGGTAAGAGAAAGAAAAAAAAGTCATTTATTTGGTATTTCTTCCCCAGCTAGTGTTTGCTGTGGAAAAATCTATTACTAAAAAGAGACTATGGAATCTCACAGAAGATGACATCTCCGACCGGGTCACGCTTCATGTCTGCTCATCTACAAAGAAGTATCTTTTACATTGGGTGTTTACTGTTTGAATGTGCTATTGAAATTATATTCCTTCATAAATTTCTTCATAAATTCAATTCATATGTCATGATTTACAAAATTGTACATACTGTGTACAATTTTGTAAACAATACTTGACAAATAGGCGGTGTCTGATTTATAAATACGAATCTGACCTTCATGGGGAAAATTGTTTCTTCTTTCTTAATTCAGTCTAATTCTTAGGCAGCTAAATGGTAAAGTGAGTAGAACGCTATACTTGGAATCAGGAGGTGCTGAGTTCAAATCCTGCCCCAGACACTAATCTAGCTGTGTAATTCTCAGCAAATCACTTAACCTCTGCTGTGAGGATAAAAAGAGAGGATAATTATAAAGTGTTTTGCAAATCTTAAAGTGCTATATTTTTCCTGGCTGTTAATTAAAAACAAAAGAGAAAGTATTTGGCTACAGATTTATCTTCTCTTACACAGAGAGTTTACAAATTCCTGGCATCCAGAGGGTCCCATTGTTCTCTTCCCTCCCCTTTCCTTTTCTTGCTTGGGGAGAATGGAGAGGACAGAAGAGAAATTGGTCTCTTGAATTGGAATTTCTGTATATTCTCATAGAAATGGTATTATATGTGGTGGTTTAAAAGTAGTATTGGTACTAAATGCCTTATGAATTAAATAAACTTGTGGAATACTTTGGAAAATAACTACTATTCACTGCATGAGTTCTGAGGGAAAATGTGTTTCTAAATAACCTATCTGTGAGCTGGGGATTACTTGCACTTAAAGAAAAAGGATATACATATTTTTTGAAAATTTCAAGGTGACTGCTTTTTTATCTCAAAAGATAGATAATAAAACTAAAGCAGGAAGAACCCATTCTCCATATGACAAAATTGTTCGTTTTGAGTACCAGTTTTTAAGTATTATAATTTTGTAACATGTTATGGGTCATTGATGAAAGCAATTAAATTATGCAGACATTTATTAAGTACCAGCTGTGTGCAAGATACAGTGTTTGGTACTGAGATCACGGAGACAAGAAACAAAACAGTTCCTGCCTCATTTTAACGTATTACTTCTGTCAAGAGTTCAAGGGTACATATAGTATGTGGAGATCCCTTCCACCTCTGATGTTCTTTTTCATCACATACAAAAAGAAAGGGAAGGAGGGAAATAGGAAGGAAGGGGAAAGGAGAGCACTTTATAGACTTTTCATTTGGTCTTCACAACCCTGGGAGATAGTGCTAAAATTATCTTTATTTTTCAGTTGAGTAAACTATTGAGGCAGACTGGTTGGCTTGTCCAGAATCATATAACTAGTTACTAAGTGTCTGAGGCTGGATCTGAACTCAGTTTTATCTCCAGGCCCAGTGCTCTATCCACTGTGATACCTCCTGCCCCCAAATAAACTTTGAAATTCTTTTGTGACTCTGCAACACCTTTCAAATAGTGTAGGTGTTTACATATTCCTATAGTCATACTTCCTACTTTTGTGTGCCTTTAAAAAAATTTTCTTTTTTTTTTAATTAAGCATTTTTTCTCTCTCCTACCATCTCCAACTGCTACTGAAAATTCAAGTCAGCAGCAAGCATTTACTAAACATTATTATGTGCTATGCACTGGGGGTGCAATGAAAGACATCCCTGCTGTAAAGGAGCTCTCAGTTTACTGGAGGAGATAGCTTGAAAAAAAGAAAAACAAAAACCCTGTAACAAATGTGTGTAGTCAAACAAAACACATCTGCGCTGGCTGTATCCAAACGTGTGTGTCTCATTCTGCATCTTAAGTCTAGTACCTCTGTTAGATGATGGGTAACATGCTTCATCATTGATTATCTGGAATTGTGATTGGTCATGATGTAGATCAGAATTCTTAAGTTTTTCGAAGTTGTTTGTCCTGACAACATTATTATTGTACATATAGTTCTTTGTCTACTCGCTTCATTCTGAAAGTTTATATAAGTTTTCCAAGGTTTTCCTGAAACCATTCTTTTTTTTTTTTAAAGCAGTAATCCATACTCATATAATTAGTTCAACTATTCCTAGTTGATGTTCTTTGCTTCATTCTTGGCTTCTAGTTCGTCATCATTACAAACAGAATTGCTGTAATTATTTGTGTGCGAGTCAGTTTTTTCCTTTTTCTTTGATCTTTTTGCTTTTAATGTTAGCTATTATTTTTAGACTTTAGACTATTTTGGAGTAGTGGTATTGCTTGGTCAAAGTGTATACACAGGTTGTATTCATATTAAAGATGATGCTAATTTTCTTACATTTAAAGTTGCATTACCTGACTTTACAGTAGATGTTAGTATTTGTTCTTTTTCTTTTGTCTGATTCTGCCAAATATTTATTTCATTTGTATTTCCTTAATTAGTCAAGAATACTTTGTCGCACTTATGATACCCGTGACCCAAAGGTAAGATGAATATTTTTTATCCAACCAGTTTATCTTGGAACCAGTTATGTTTGTTTTTAAAATTATACTTTAGTCATTAGTTTCAGTATATTTATTTCAGCATGCTCCTACTTTCTTTTGAGGTGCAAAGGTAGCTAGAGTTCTACTTGACACTTAAATATAATTAACATGATTACAAGCATTTCAGATCTCTGGAAAAGTATTTAAAATACATTTTTTATTATCAGAGAGAGAGAGGGGAAAAAATTTCCTAAGGTTTCAGCAGATGTTAGATTTAAAGGCTGTATAAAATACAAACCATCTGTGTTGCTTCCAAATCCTGTCTGTGGCCCACCTTTCCAAGCCAGTGGTATGTTACTGTCATTCACTTTCTCTCCATTCCATCAGAGGGGATGCTTGGTGTTTAACATACACGATGTTTTATTTCCCATCCTCCCTCCACAGAGGCTGTCCTCAGTAACAAAACGAACCTCCTCCCACCTGACAGAACCCCAGTTTCCTTCAGAGCTAATGTGCTGAAGCGCTTCCTCTTGCTCTCATGAGAAGCCTCTCTCTCCTGAAAGCCTCCATTCATAGTGTGGTCCCCCAAGAAATTATTTTATGCATATTTTTTACTGACTTCTTTGGGCATGTTTCTTAATAATAAAATATAAATTCCTTGAAGGTAAAGAGTATTTAATTTTTGTCTTTTATCACTATCACCTCCACAGAACCTGAAAAATGTTAGGTGCTGCTCAAATGCTTATTGAATTTAAAAATGTAATTAAAGAAGCCAATTTATATTCAAGGGAACTCCATTTGAAATGATGTTAATATTGTAGAAACCAAGTGTCACTGTGTTTTCAGTTATATGAAATTAGCTGCTAATAGGGTAGGGAAACCCAGAGGGTGGAGCATTGTCAAGAAGCAACTTTGCAGTTCCATTTTCTTTGGGTAAGCAAAGTCATAAGACTTTGGAAGCAAGCAGAGCAGCCACTGAGGGTTCAGACTTGGTTTTGAATTCAGTTTGTATCTTGAGCCAAGTATATGCAGAGACACAGGAACTGCTGCTGTTTGTACTGGTAGAGAGAGGTGTTGGGAACAGTTGTGCCTTTTGGACAAGCAGAGTACTGTTACCTCATTAATTAAGTAATAGAAAGAAAGAATGACTAGCTTTGCCTCAGACTATAATACAATCTCTGACTACTGTATAACATACCAGAAAAGGAAGTGGTGAGGAAGAAGGGACATCCACAGAAAGTTTCTTTTTAAAAGAAGAATATTAATTTATTATCTTTTTGAGAAATTAGAGGATTTGATAAATTGTTTGTAAGGTGGCATATTCCTGTTTAGAGCATGGATCATTATGATTGTTTCAAATCATTCATTAGTTTTGAAAGTGACATTTCTGTTCCTGGTACCTTAGATGCTGTTAAAGCCATACTAAAGATCATTTAATTCAAACCCCTTGTTCTGCAGATGGGAAAAAATCCTGGAGAGGTCAGGTCATTCTATTGAATATGAAGCAGTAAGTGACAGAGCCAGGATTGGAGCCCAGGTCTTTTGATACCTGATCTATTCAAGGTGCTTTCTACTATCCCATGCTAGAATTTTAGATCAAGAAGAGTATAATATTAGAGGCTTGGCCAAAGGTTAACCTCTTTTCTAACATTCTTAAAATCGTTTTTTGAAGAGCCAATTTATACTTTAGATGTAATTTTTATTATTGGTGCTAGAGGTTTTATACCAATTGTCTTTAAATTGTATAATTTAATATATAAACCAATACAATAAAAAGATTAACAAATCTCAGTACTTTGTCTCCAGAAAATTCTTATTTTAATATCCATTTATAGCTTAGTAAGTAGAATAGAGAGCCTTGAGCTATTATAACTTAACAGTGTAATTAGTTAACTACCTCATTCCCTTGAAAAAGGCAGTTTGATGCTGAGGGCACACAAGTATATGACTTAAAAAAGAGGCTAAGAAGGGGGGAAGGAGAGCAAAGGAGCCAGGTTTGGGTTAGGTGAGATGCTGTTGAACAGGATCATTGACTAAAGAGAACATGCCAGAGTGCCCTGGGAGGGGTGGGTGGCAGCTTGATTAGGCTTTGGTGGCTGGGCTTGTAGTGTTTGCCTGTTGATAAGTCAGACAATCAACAAGCATTTATTAAGCATTTAGTATATTCCAGGCACTGTGCTTATTAAGCTTTGTAGATGAGTCCACATACAGGTATAGACCCTTCCTTCATTTTACAAATGAAGTAGTTAGGGCCTAGTGAAATCAGAGCCACACACTGCTAGTTAATGTCCCTAAAAGTCCATTATTTTTTGGTCACTCGGTTAGCATTTATTGCCTTTTGTGTTCTAGACACTGTGCAGAGCATTGGAGATACAAAGGCAAAAAAAAAAAGTCTTTGCTTTCAAGAAGCTCAGAGGGAGAGACAACATGCAAATAACCATGTACAGGCTTGATACATACAGGATAAGTTGGAAGTAGTCTCAGGGCGAAGGCACTAAGATTAAGGAATTTTGTATTTATTTTTATAATAAGGAGTTTATTTTTTAGGAAAAAAGTGCTGTCTCACAGTTTTATCTGTCAGAGAGGTTAAACCATAGGTCTGAACTACCAGAAGGATAAAAAGATCTCTATTTAATGGCAGTCAACTGAAATTGTCTAGGTGGCCTTAAAGCTCAATGAAGACAAAGAATCATAGAATCGAGAGCTAACAGGGACGGGAGAGATCAACCTTCTACTGATGAAGATATGCCTACTGATAAATCAGATAATGCATTATTGTTAGAGGGATATTTCACACATCTTTGCTACTTTCTGACCACCATGTGGATCAGTCTACAAATGATAATTCCTGTGTACATACACACAGATACTTATACTTAAAGGTATATTTTTTCATAATCAAAGTGGAGAAAAAAAACTAGATGGTAATTCTCTTATTTCTAGTAAATGTTTGGAACTGCTTTATAATATGATTTTGAATAATAATACTTCTACTAGGCAATTTCACTTGGACTTTTAAAAAAAATCCACAGAATTATTTTTATTCATTTTTTAGAAATCCAACATAGTTATATTTTTAAAGCACATTAATTAAGTTGTTTTGAATTTAGAACTTTAAATATTCTAAATGGCTACCTATGAGAAAGCTCATTAAAATAGTTTACTTTAGTGGAGTGGCATTGGAAATGTATATCTGATTTACACAGGCATAAACAGAAAGAAGACTCCATCTCTCACCTCTCTTAGTAGTCTGATATTCCTTAAGCTGTTTAACATGTTAAAGCATACAGTGTTTAGTGCTAAAGAAGTCTGTTAACATTTAAAGGATGCCCCTTCCAGAGATACTTAAAAGAGTAAGAGTTCCTGGGCTCTTGTGTTTACAAAGTTAAGACGTTTAATATATTATTTCAGAGCCCTGAGCTGTTTGGCATGGTAGTCATACACATAGGCATTGTGCACAGTGGACATTCAATAAATACATGTCAATATACCAAATGTATAAAATCCCAGGTGCTGAGTGAGGAGTAGGGTTCTTATAAGAGATGAAGCCATAGTGCCTTTTGATATGACAGCCTCATGTCTAACCTCACCTCTCTGCTGTGTCTTGAAAACAGAAGAGCCAATAAGACTTACAGAATAGGGAATTTTAATACATGCTTCAAACTCTGGAAACTTTGGTTCTGGTGACAATTCTGCTTTGTAAAATCTATGCTCCAAGACCTCTCAGAGCTAATAATGAACCTTAGGCATAATTATTACTATTACTTTGTATTTTCATTTTGGAATAGAAATGTCATATTTAAAGAAATCTGACAAAGTTTGAAAATTTGCTGTCCTATAACATAATTACTTATCCTTATGCTTTTTATAACTTATTGATCCATAATATATTTTTATTTGAAGTGCATCATTTTATGTGTGTTTTTAAATCTCAGTCTTACTTCCTCTTTTGTCACTTCTAGAGTTCACCAAAACCTGCAGACTGGAAATATCAGAACGGACTATCTACTTCATGGCTTTCTTTAGATTGCACAATTCATGTTAACATTCATGTTCCACTTTCAGCCACAACTGCTAGTTATCCCCTGGAGAAAAATACAAAGGTAATAGATAAAATAAACTTATAATATTATTAAATAACTGTTGAGAATATTGTCTTTCTTTTCCATTATTGGACACCATTAGGTGGTGATTTGTTGTATATGTGTCTTATTCCTCCATGCAGATTATAAGTACCTTGATGGTAGAGTTAACCAACCAGTGCCTTGTAGTTGTTTTTCTTTCTTGCACACATTAGGTGCTTGGTAAATATTCTTTATTGAAAAAAAAGTTGTCTGGATTTTTCTTTGTCTTAGGCCTCAATTTAGCTTCCTTACCTTTCCTAGTACTTTTTTCTTACCTCTTTGTATAATTTCTTCTCAGTATCTCGAACTTAGGATTTTTCCGCTTTTGTTGCTTTTCCCTTTTGTCCTTTCTATTAACAAGAGAACTCTCTGAAACTATTTGATATCTTTCATTCCATATTATAGCTCCTTTCTGTAGTGTCTTATGTTTTTGTTTTTATTTTTTTAATTTTTAAAGACTTTTGAAATGAATAGGTATCTGTGGTTAAACTTTTGTTCTCTATTTTATGCATATTTAGGGAGATTTATTTACAATTTAGATACATATAGGTATATGCCTCATATTTTTAGTCAGGAGAGAAGATATTATATATGGAGTAGTTAAAGATTGGAGGTATATTGCAAGTTTTTTGAATATGATTTCAAGAATATTATTTTAATATTAAGTATTGCCAATGCTTTTAGTTTTTTAGGAACTGTGTAAGCATGGGAGGAAGAAAAATCTAATAAAGTTGAAATTACTTAATATATGCTGTACCTAGAGACTTAATGAGATGTTTTTCTTTTAAGAATGGACTTGCACGCTGGGCCAAGCAAATTGAAGGTGGTATGTATTTGATCAATGGACAAGTTAAAGAGGAAGATTGTGAACTGCTAGAAGGACAGGTGAATTCAGGAAATTATGTTTGAGCTATTAAATGATTTGAAATATTTCCTTTAAGATGAAAAAAATTATGACTAATATTCTGACAGAATCTATAGAATTTGTATGTCATTTAGTCCCAGTATTTCTGAAGATTTGTACATTAAAATGTGGTTAAGGGCCAAATGTATTAATCATGATATAGTGCAGTCTTGAAAAACTTGCTGGAAGCACCCAATATTTACAGCTCTTTGGCTCTGAGTACAGTAATAATAGCTAATATCTTCTTAGATTATAACTAGACTCAGAGTGATTCTGACTCAAAAACATATTTCCAGTGAGTTAATTGGAATAGAGAAAATTGGGGAGGAATTGATTTTTTCAAAAATTTTGATGTTGATATATAGTTCAAAAATTTCATCCCACAAATGCTATCTCTAGTGATCAGTATGATTAAACAACACTGTACTGTTTCCTGATAGTGCTTTTCCCTTAACTTTTTAGATTTTTTTTTAACCTGTAGTATTTACAAATTTTGGCCTCTTGTTAGACCTATTCAGTCTTATCACTAAAAATGTCTTCAGGATGATTTCTAAATTGCCTTTTAAAAAAAAACCCGAATGAAATATTTATTGCCTAAATAATTAGTATTTTAATTTTTTTCTCTTTCAGAAAAAGTCTTCTAGAGGAAATACTCAAACTACTAGTCAAACTTTTGATGTCAGGGTCCTGACACATTTGGTAAATATTGGGAAAATGCTACTAATCTAAAACCTTTTCAGAAAGTCATTATATGGCATTAACAAAATCAACATTTTGGAGTTTATTATATTGAGAATCATAACATTTTAGAACTTAGACATTATTAATTTTTCAACCATGAGAACAGTTTACTTTTTAAGTAACTCATAGAGGTATCATTTTCCTAAAACCATTTCTGACTACATCTTTAGCCCTAAAGCTTGGAGGAAAGGAGGAAAGAATGGAAGATGATGTTGAAAGGATTTTAGGTTTAGAATTTGGGAGAAGCAGGAGCTCATGATGGATCACCTCAATTTTCTCCATAGTATACTCTGCTGAGAGGGAGTAGTGATAGAGAGAAGGAAAGATTTAGAATCAATTGTGAGAAATTTATCAAGGAAGAGTAAAAAGGATTGGTATGTAGCATTGAGGGCCCATTTAAAATTAGATAATATATGTGAGCTTCATTTATCTGATGTGGCTGGCTCTTGATAGTTATCCACATATAAAACATTTGAAGCTAAATGGTGGAGAATGTAAATGGGAGATGACTATCTCAATCTGCCTCCAATAAACTCCCATGAACCATATTTTAAGTCATGGGGACAGAATTATAGGAAGGCATAAAGATCGGAAATGGAATGTCATTTTTAGAGAATGGTTAGTTGTCCTTTTTATTCTGGAACAAAGATAGAGGATGTGAAGGAAAGCGAAATAGGTCTGGAAAACTAGGTTGGGACCAGATTGTTCCATGTTTTAAATACCAGGCTAAGAAATTTATTTGTGTTTTATTCTAGAAGCACTACATTAAAATTTTAGGAAGTTTTTTCTTATGTTGAGTCACAATTTGCCTCCCTTCACTTTCACTCACTGGTACTAGTTTTATTGTCTAACACCAAGAAGAACAAGGATGAATTGCCTTCTACATGACAACCCTTCAGGTAGTTGGAGATTGCTATCATGTCCTACCCCTTTCTTGTCTCTTCAATCTGCCTGCCCTAATCTAAAACCCAGAAACAACTTTCCCTAAAAAATACTGTATCCTGAGTTATCACCATCTTATCTTCCCTTGCATTGCAAAGTCCTACACAAAGCCCTCTGTACTCTTTGACTACCCCCTATCTCCTCCCTGCCCCCCCAGCCTTTCCACCACCTCCATCCTTCACCCCTTGTAATATGGCATACATCTCCACCATTCTGCTGAAATTAAATTTCTTGACACTGCACTTTTCTGGTTCTCTTCCTGTCCCTCTGACTGCTTCTTCTGTTTACTTTGCTTCCTTCTTCTGTGGCTTTCCTCACCTCTGCCCTTTTTCCAAGAGATGGACATTTTAGCAAGATTCTCTTCAGCAAGAAAGCCTTTGGCTTTCTACTTAGATGTATCTATATTTTCTTCCTCAGTGATTACCTCCACTCCATGGCTTCAAATCTTACTTCTTTGTGGTCTGTTACCAACTTTTAATTTTTTCTAATTTTTCTGTTATGCCTCCTTTTGAAATATGTTCTGGACATTTCTATCTGGTCATCATATTAATTTGCACTTCGAAAGTCAAATTCATTATCTTTCCATCTAAAGAACCGACAGGGTAGGTAACTTGTGCAGAATTACATAGGCATTATGTGTTAGAAGTGGGACTTGAAACAAGGCTTTGCGGGTTCTAATGTCACACTACTTCTCATATTTGTGCTTAAAAGAAAAAAATTGATTTCAGGTTACAATATAGATGCTCAGAAAAACTACTAAACTACAAAAAGGAAAATGGGGTAAAGACCTTTTCATAATTGATGGAGAATATTTTCAAACATTGGGGCAAGAAATAGAAGTCATACTCATAAAATTCCTAAAATGCTCATGTGGAGTGTAACATGATACTTGTTTTATTTCTAATGGGAGGGCCACTTAATCATTATTTAGACTAAAGGCAACATTTCTCTTTCAGCTCCTTAATTCGAATCACAGATCTACAGCTACAGTCCAGGTCTGCAGTGGTTCTGTAAACCTCAAGGGTTCTGTGACATGTAGAGCTTATATTCACAGCAACAAACCCAAAGTTAAAGATGCTGTGCAGGTCAGACCATAATTACCATCGTACAGGGCATGATAATGTTTTACTCCAGCTGTTTCATAACATTTTAACCTTTTAAAACTTGGAATCATTCATTTGACTCTACTTGGCAAGGGGATGTAGTGTACATATACTTGAGGTTTCCTTTAGGGTTTTTTTTTGTTTTTTTTTTTGGCTAGGCAATGGGGTTAAGTGACTTGCCCACGGTCACACAGGTAGTAAGTGTTATGCGTCTGAATCCGGATTTGAACTCAGGTCCTCCTGACTCCAGGGCTGGTGCTCTATCCACTGCACCACCTGGCTGCCCCTCCTTTAGGGTTCTTAAGAGGAAAATGCTGAAAGAGCTAAGTGTAAGCATTATTCTTAGTTTTAAATCACTGAGATCACAGTCCTCGTGAATCTAAATTACAGTAAAATCACAGTACTAGTGAAAATATAGTTTATTTACATGTTCAGAATTAAATCCGAGAATTTATGATAAGGTTCAAAGATCTTTATTCTCATTTTTCTTTAAATTGAAATAGCCTATGGATATTCCTTGGTATTTTCAAAGGATCTGGGATTGCATCAATGTGGGTAATATTGCTCTCCTATTTGTTGATAGAGTAGACCCTATGCTGTAGATAGAAATTTTTTCTAGGTCTTTGAATAGCCCATAAGTACTGGTGCAACAGAGTTGCTAGATTGTTAGTCCCTAGATTATAGTTGTGTAAATGACTCACCTCCTTTTCAAATAACATTTTCTGAATGAGGTCTGTGTTACCTCTTGCATGGAAGTCATCATTTATAATTTGCTGTACCCTACTTTCTTCTGATGTATACTCACAATTTTGATTCTTTAAAAATTATGGCATTCCTTAAATTGCAATTATGGCATTTAGGGTTGTATATAATTGTATCAAAAGGAGTATTGGTGTTAAAGAAATAAATTTTTACGTCAGGGAGCTCCTTGGGTTTGTCAAACACATACTGTTTCTCAGATAAAATTATTTTTATTATTAATAAGATATAGTATACATTATTTTATTTTATATTTCTCCATTTTTCTATGTAAAAATGGAGGAAATTTGTCCTTAAGTAATAATTATACAATTCCCTATAGGATCATCAACCAACTATGGATGAACTATCGTAATAGTAAAAGTGCATTCCAGGTCCTTTTCCTCTCAGAATCTTAAGTTTCTAAGAGCAACCAAAAAAAACTGTACTGTCATGTTGGGTGCCAAATCATTCAGAAATTGTGAAAATTATGACACTTCGAAATAATTGTGTAGTTCACCAGTTTGGAGCACTGACATTGACTAGTATTATTTATGCAGCATGTACATACTTACTAATTTGGAAGTAATTAATTTGGATAGGACTGAGCTGAAATTTATCTTTATTCTATTAAAGGAAAAATACCTTTATGATGTTGATGGAAATTGCTGAGGAAATGAATAGTAAAAATGAGTTTGGAAGGGAAATATTTACCTGCTTTAAGTACTAAGCTTGTCAGTCACTTTAGATTTAGAATTATGTTTCCATTTGTGTTTTAGTAAACATAATTTGACCCTAAATATTTCAAAACTATGTCAGTTAGGGTCTTATAGCAGGAGCTCTACATTTCTATTTTTGATTGTGTTTTGTTTTTGTCTCTAGGCATTAAAGAGAGATATATTGAACACAGTGTCTGATCGTTGTGAAATACTATTTGAAGATCTTCTTATGAATGAAATACCAGGCAATAAAGGTTTGAATATAAAATAAATGATTTTTAAAATTTCATTTTATGTTTTCTTTGTTTGATGCAGGAATATAACGGGATATAAATTGGACACATTCTTAGGGTTTTGTGACAGAATTGCAGGAAAGTATTTTTAGCACTTTAGGAACAAATTTTAGCAATATTTGTAAGCGTTGATTGCCTAAATGGCAATTTTTTCCTCTAAAACACGTGACCTACTAGTATGTGTGGCCTATGTTGTAGATGATTACTTTTATTTACTTAAACATGTGAGTTCCCTCCAGAACTTCTCAATGGTCAAAATACAATTAAAATTTTTTTCGCTTAATGTGTTCTAAATAGCAATCTAATTCTTTGAAAATTGGTAGTTACTGTCTGGTATGTATGGTTGCTTGTTACTAAGTAGAATATTTGATTAAACAGGAAACTTTACCCATGGACCAGATAAAATGATATATTTTACATAAATAGATAACTTATGGAGTAGACTAAAATATAATTAAATTCAAGAAGGACTTTTAAATATTCATGATTGGTATATAGATAATAGATACATAATAGGTTATTTTTGAGTGCTAGGGATGCTTAGATACATCCCTAACATTTTAAGATGATGTCATGAAGGTAGATATGTCTTCCCATAGAACTTTTTTTGTTACCACTATTAGAGAGAGAGACATTGAATTGACTGTACTTTCTTTGTGTTCTAAGGCTTAAAAGTGAGAAGACCTTGACTTAAGTTCCTCCTTTGACACTAACTAGTTCTGCCTCTGTGGACAAATCATTTAACCTTTCTAGAATTCTTTTTCCTTATTTATGAAATGGGCATAATAATTATACTACCTTTCTCCCAGTGTTGTAAAGAAAGTTCCTGGTATACCATAATATATTCTTTGTGTATACAGTATTTATTACTTATGCCATTTAAGAATGTTTAATCATTTTTTTAATTTGACCTCATTCAGTATTTTTGACTTTATATTCAGAGTAATGTTTTTAACATTTTGATGACTTACCTGTTTAATATCTTAAAGTGGCATTTCCATGACTTAACTCACAGATTGAATATTGCATCCCTTAAAGTAGGTGTTCTTAACTTTTTTTGTGTCATGGACTCCTTTGGCAATCTGATGAAGCCTATGGATCCCTTTTTGGAAGAATAATATTTTAAAAAAAAATCACTTTGCAAATTGAATGACTACTGTTCTGGTCCTTGTTAGAGTATGAGGTATTTAGCGTAGACATATCATAGTTATATAATTTAATTTATGATGCAAATTATATAATGTAATGATATTAATTATATAACAAAATATAGGGAGTTCCAAAAGTCTTAGTACAATTTTAAATTATTAAAGCTTAAAACCTCAGGAAGATGAGTCTTCATTACTTCAGCTCTGGCCACTGTGCCACCTAGTTGCCCCTGCCTAGGAGTTAATCTGCAGATATATGCTACTTGAATCCACGGAAGCTGACGAGATCACCAAGAGAGACAATGAAGGGAGAGAAGATGAGGGCACTGAGGGACACTCGTGGTTTGGGTGTAAAACACGGATGGTCATCTAAGAAAAGTACTATAGACAATAGTCTCACAGAAAGGAATAAAAGCAGCTGAGATGCCCAAAACCTCTTTTGAGGAGACGAAATCTATGAAAGGAGCCTTTGCCTCAAGTGTCTTGTGTATAAAAATGTTCAAAGTTCAGAAATCAGATGAGGAGCTCTCAGAGGTCCTAATGCAATGGGACAATTTATCTCATAGGGATCACTGATACTAGGTGAGATGAAACCTGTTACTGGACTGTGGCTCTGTTTGGGAACACTGTATTGAAAAGAAACAGGATAGATAAGAGCAGAGACTGGGGAAGAAAATGGTAGCATTGTAAGTAACAAAGTATGTTCCTGTGAGGAAATTCAAGAACTAGAGGAGGGAATCATGACGAAGACTATTTGGATCTCATGGTTCATATGAAAATTTTTTTAGCATCTTACCTTTGTCTATCAGGAAAATCTTACCAAGAGTGATATTTGGAATGCATAATATAAAATTTATGTAAACCACAGCACCCTTACATGAATTTGGGATCTGAATAGAACATACTTACTTTACTATATAATCTTTTAAATAAACACAGATGTATTTCTTTGAAGTTGTGGATGACCAGCTTAATATAATTGCATAAAACCACTTATAATACTAGTAAAAACAATTAAGAACCATAACCGTTAGTAGCTTACAATTAACTTTTATTTTGTTGCTCTAGCATAACAAAGTAATCATTTTTTTTAAGAGAAATAAACTTGAGATATATGTGGGGGACATAGTATATTTCTTTTTAACTTAAATGATTAGATTCTTCCTTTTTGCTTCTGGATCTGTGGAAGGCAGATTTGGGTTCTTCATTTTAAAATGTCTCTTTGAAAATGAAAATAAATATAGGAATGATTTTTGGAATGGCAGAATTATCTTCCCTCTATTTCTGAGTTTTTAGTATATTTAAAAAAAAAAACTTGTCTTTTAAAAAATACCCCTAGTAATCTCCATTTTTGTCATCAGTTATAAACTAATTAGAAGACCAGTACTCATTTGTAAACTAATTAGAAGACCTATACTCATTAGCAAATAAATTTAATTTAGCTTCTGAAAAAAAGAAGTTAGAAATGTTTTTCTTTCCTTTTTCCCTTCTTTTTCTCTCTGTTCTTTGCTAATATTTCCTGTTAACAGTATGTTAACTTGTTTCCAAAATTAATTAAACCCACACATTTAATGTGCAGTCTTTAATGTACAGGGAACATATTTTTAAGGTTTTTCTTCTGTATTAGTAGTATATTAATGCAGCTCAAAACACTAAATTTTATTTTGCATTCTAATGTTTCTTCCATTGGCACAAATTATGAGTTCCACTGGATATTTTTAGCTTGTTAACAATAATAATGATTATTATTATATATGTATGTGTGTGTGTGTACATAATATAAAAACTGGACAATTAAGAAAAGTTACAAGGCAGTTCAGTGATTTTACAGCTAGGAGGCAGTCTGGTCAAAGAGGAGAATTTAATTTCCCATCTCTGAAAGGTAGATAATGTGCTAGAGCTAGAAGAAATAAGCTAATTTTTACATTTCCTGTGAAACTTAGGGAATTTTTCTTTGTTTTTCACTTTATATGTAAAGTCTTTGGTTGGTTCCTTAACAAGTAAATGTAACTTTTGTCATTTATAAGTACTTAATTTTGTTACTTGAAAAGCGTGAAGAAAATGATGGTATAACATAATTTGGAAAGTAACAACATAAAACTCACAAGAATCATTTTAATTCTACTGCTGAAAGAATACGTTTCTTCAAAGAATATATGCTTTTAAAGAGTAGGCTATTCTTTAAGCATAATTTTAAATAATATAAACCATAGACTAAGTTTTTATATTTATATGTTCTTGTGAATAAAATTATTTATATGAAGAAATAGGGAAACAATTTCAGTTTTCATAACCTGATTACTTTTTAAAAATAATTTTATTGATATCTTTTGTTTTTATAAACCTGTTTCTTTTCATGGAATGTTATTTTTCTTTAGTGGTACCTTCTTGACTCTAGTATAGCAAAATCAACCTTATGTTTAAATCCCTGAAGAGTCTGAATTCCACTCACTTTTCATGACTTATTTGATATTATTCCCCTTCACATTGTGCTCCAGCCAAAATGGCCTATTAGGTGTTTTCCAGACTTCGTACTTTCTACTGACTCTGTCATTGTCTTTGCACAAGTCCAGAATGCCTTTATCACCTCTGAATCTTAGAATCTTTAATTTCCTTCAAGGCTTAGCTCAGATGCCATGATCTCAGGGAAGCTTTTCTACATCCCCCCAATTGTTAGTGCTTTCTCCCTCTTCAATTTAATTCAATTCAGCAAGCATTTTAAAAGAAATTCCTCAGATTATTTTGTATTTATTCTGAATTATGGGCATGGTGTTTCCTTTAGTAGGTAAACTCCTCAAAGGCAAGGATTGCTTAATTTTTGTCTTTTTATTCCCAGTACCTTGCATGTAGTAGATGCTTAATCACTGTTTGTTTAATTAAATTGTTCAGGTGTTGAAGAGGATAGAAAGGTCTCTTTATCTGTTGTTTTTTTTTTTTGTCTTTTATAGTTTATGCCATCATTGCCATGAGTATCTTTTTCATAGCCAGTAATAATACTATTTACTTGATAATGATTATGCTTTCTTCTAGATTCTGAAAAAGAATTCCATGCTCTTCCACATCGAATATTTGTCCCTGTTCCTGGATTGAGTGTAAAGCTGTGTGATTATAAATTTGGAGATGAGTCGACTCAGGAGATACAGGAACATTTTATGGAATTGTTGGATCAGCACATAGGAATAGATGATCTAGAAATTGCAGAGGAAATCAATACAGGTAAAAATAAACAAGGAGGCATCATTGTAGCTATAGTAAACATATAAACTTGGGCTCTAGTTTTTGCTGTTCCACTTGCTAGTCTTGTGACCAGTCAGAGAGACACATAATTACTGAGCCTCATTTTCTCATCTGAAAAATGCTAATTTGTTTCTGTGAGGAAAGTACTTTGCAAACTATTAAGGCTGACATAAAGATAAGTTATTGTTAAACACATGATTAAACTATAGTGAGGAATCACTTAATTAGAAGATCAATAAAAGATTAACTTTTAAACATCTTATGGTTGTTTTGGGTATGCTGACATAACATTTTAAGTAAGGCATTTCAAATTTTAATCTTTACAGGGAGATAAAATGAGCATATTCCTTCCCAGAGGATATTAAGTACTATTGTTAATACTTAAATGTCAATGCATTTTGTGATTTCATTGGTTTGGGAACTTTCTCAGGGCACAGAGTTCAAGTGATTTGCTTGTCATCACTGAGTTAGTAAGTTCCAAGGGGCAGAATCTAACCCAGGTTTTCCTAATTCCAAGGAACTCAGTCTATCACCGTGCCACTCTGCAGGTATTTATAGTAAATAAATGGTAAATATATAGTAAATATTGGCAGAGTGGCACAGTGTTGATAGTAATTACTAGCAAAGCATCACAGTATTTCAACTGTTTTCAAAATAATGGAGGGGGCTCTTGATAAGATAAAAATAATGTAGAGTATGACTGACTTCCTAATAGGAAGAACTATGAAGTTTCGTATTCTTCTTTTTGTAATTTATGGAATTTTTCTCAGAACTCCATTATCTTAGTGGCTTCATGCTGCCACACCTCCCTCAGATAAGAAATAAACACTTATAAGATAACAGAAAGAAATGTCTAAGGAGCAAACCTGAAAGATACCTTCAAATTTCCAAAGCTGTATTCTTTTGGAGCATGTTATGCCTGTTGTCAAATGTAGTTTCTTCAGCATTTTCATCTTTCTCTGTCATATTGGAGCTTGTATTTTGGATGTCTGTATTATTTTATTTTATTCCTATTGAATACAGAATTCCCAAGAAATGTATATAAATGTATGTGAGCATTACCTTAGGAAATAATACTATAATGTTCCTAAGATAACTTTTTAAAATAAGAAAAAAGTATTAATTCAGTAAACAAAGATAGCTATCAGGAAAGAACAATTCATCATTTAGACTGTCACAGTGTCTGTGAGTGTTCTTGTAGGCACATTATTACCTTAGTCTTTTTTTTTCCTTATAATGAGAAAACAAGTGCTTTTAAACCTCAGGCCATCTATTTTTTCCTCAGTACATTTTGCAGATTTCATAGTTATTCATCAGTTGCTATGGTACCTTTTTTAAATTCTATTTCCACACCCCTTTATGTTTACTATATGGGCTGGAACTGGATTATGGTATTTAATTCAAGCACTCTTGTTACTATGGTGAGTCATGTAATTTATTGGTGAATTTCCAACCTAGCTATAGTGCCTCAAGTGTAAGTTGAGACCTCCAACTTTTTCTAAGTTGATAACTCCAGGTGTTAGTGCTAATCATGATGAGGAATAAAGAGTTTGCTTTATGTGAAAAAAGGGAAGGAAAAAATTAAAAATGTTGAATATTTTGATTTTGTGGCAACTTCTTATGTTTTAAATGATATCATCATCAAATAGTATATAATGTCCAATAATAATATCATCATTTTAAGGACATATGGTTTTGTTTTGAACATATAACCATTTTGCAAGGGCAAGTCTTATTTTTTTGTGCCACCTTGCATATTTTAATGGTTCCACAGAGCATAGCCGTGAACTTTCCCTGTTAGCCAGTCATAGGCTCAAAATTGAAAAAAAAGGAGCATGTAGGTCATCTAATCTGTTGCCCTGAAAATCTCTTGTCTAGCACCCCTGAAAATGATGGTCATCTAGCCTGTCCTTAACTCAGTTCATGAGGCATGTCTTTGTATTTTTAGATAGTGTTAGTTGTTGCAGTGTTTTGTGTTCACGGAATCTCAGAGTTGGGAAGGACCCAAAAAACCCAATCCATATTGAATAAGTACAAGTATATTGAGCAAAAAAAAATTATCTGTAACATCCTGTAACATCCATGTCTTGTCGTCAGAAGCAACATGGAACTCATCTTCTCATTTTTACACAACATCCCTTCAGATACTTGAAGACAATTATCATGTCTCCTTAGTCACCATGTTCAGGCTACCACATATGTGCTTGTTCCTTCAATCAATACTTGACATTACTGACAGATACCCTTACCATCGTAGTTATCTTCCTTAAGACATATTCTAATGTCCTTAAAATGTGGCACTTAGAATTAAATATAATACTCTTGAGGTGATCTGACCTTTCAAAGTACTGTAGAACTCTTATTTCCTGTGATAAGTAGTAGTTTTAAAATGCAGCCCAAGTTTGTACAGGCTTTTTAAAGTTTTTTTTATTTTTTAGCAGTTGTATCATTCTTCAATTACAAATAAGTATTCCTTAATACCTTAGACTGGATCTTCTTAAACTTTGTCTACTCATGACCTCTTCAGCACTTCTTAAACTGTGGGTCGCTGCTTACACAATTCCTAGATAATGTGAATGCTGACTACCAAGCTATGTTCCACCTATCCTCTCCTGGTGATATTTTAAAAACTTAAATGCAAGCTTTACCTTTATGTCTCTTAAATTTTGTCTTATTGCTTTCATTCAGATCTGTTGAAATAATTTTGGATCTTAATCCTATCATCTCATAGAAGCTGTGCCTCCCAGCTTCTTGTACTTCTTGCTGAACTCAAAAGACACAAAAATCTGCCAAACATCTACCCATAATCTTCCTCAATATTAATTTAATAGTTGAATAAAAGAATAGTTCCCTGGTTCATGTATTTTATGCACTGTTTCCAAACATGTATAATAAGCTATGAATTTATCATGCAAATACTGTCTATTGGGGCAAGAGGAGGCCATAGGGAGAAGTCAATTTAATGTTGTTATACAAGCAGCTGGTAACATAGTGTAAGTACCAAATCAACCACATTCTTCTTTATCAGGTCCAAAATCCAAACAAATTTCCACTGTTATGATACCTCTTTGTGGAAATAACTGGCAGCAACATGGTCAGTAATGATTTCTCAAAACTATTTAAGACCTTAAGAGGATTATGAGGCAGTTCTAAAGTCATGGAAACAAAAAGTTTCAGAGATTCAAAGATGTAATTGATGATAACCAGATAAAGAATTCCCATATGCTCTCTCTTCTTGCCACTAATGTCCTTTCTCCCTTTTGTCCTCTCTTAGGAAAGCATCATTTTAATTCAATTCCAAAAGCATTTATTAAGTGCCTACTTAAAGCTGCCTGGCACTTTGTCTCCTCATTGCTGTTATCACCTCTTTTGTCTACCAGCTGTTGTCATGTTCAAAGGCAAATGGTTCTTATCACTCATTCAGTTCTCAAAAACTTAAAAATGCTCTGACATAATAAGCATTCAGCTGCAGAGAACTCTCAGTTAGTGGAAATGATGACACTAGATGAAGAAAATTGAAACGTGAAGTGTACAGTATAAGGATGATTTATAATTTGCTTCAGCCAAATTGGTTTAAACCAGTTTTCACTTTATTTAGGAAATGTTTAAGTTTAAAACGAGAGTTTCTAACTTGTACCTTGTAATCCTCTTAAACTAAGCCCTATTTTACTCTCATACATTGTTTAAAAAGTGATATTTATTTTTGCACAAAAAAGATGCTTACTGATTGAATTAAAATTTGTGAAATTATTAAATGCCAAAATCAGGTAAAGTATAGGTTCTAATCACATTTTTATAATCATTTAGTGAATACACTTTTTCTGTTATGAAAATTGTGGTAAAATGACATGTTTCTTTGTGAAGAGCATTTTGGCACAGAGTTAGAAAGGAAATAGTAGACATGTCCCTTGTATTTGTAATCTAATGAGAAAGATGGGAAAAAACATGAAAGATAATTATCAACATAGAGTATCATAATTTTTTCTAAGAAATATGACTAATCATTTTAAATCATTCATTTATATATTTAGCAAGTGTTTTTTGAGCACCCATTATTTACAAATAATGTTTTAGGTGTTATGAGAGAACTTTAAAAAGTATTATCACTACAGTTTTAAGAGGAGATATGAGATATGTGTCCAAATAACTATAAAACAAGATATAAGGACCATAGAGGTATCACAAATAAAATGTTAAAGTAAAGCATATGTTTAATAATCAACATTTTAAAGTCCAGAATTTTTCTCATTAATAATAAATCTGAATTTTATTTGTAGTATGTAGACTTGAAGTCATGTATAGAGTATTTTTCATTTATAGATTGATATGATACAGTCATTTTCATTAAATAAGCTTTGCATTATGAGAAATTAATTAATAGTCCATCTCTTTCCATATTGTATTTACTATTATGGTTCACATTTGAAGGACCAATGTGTCAGTTGATGAAAAAAAATTTTAATTTTACTTTAAAATGAAAATTTTCATTCTTCTATCTCTTTTTTCTTTGCCCTATGGGTTAAAAAATCTATTACTACATCTATTGACACAGTTTGGGCCTTCTAGATATTCTTAATTTTTGGTGCTTCTAGTGTTAACATTTTTATTTTACATTTCACAGAAAATAAATAAAGCCACATATTCTTTTAAAAATGTGGAGGAGAGGGACAACTAAGTGGCACAGTGGATAGAGCAGCGGCCCTGGAATCAGGAGGACTTGAGTTGAAATCCGGTCTCAGACCAGACACATGACACTTACTAGCTGTGTGACCCTAGGCAAGTCACTTAACCCCAATTCCCTTGGCCCCCCCACCCAAAAAAAAAATGTAGTGTAGGCAGTCACTGTTGTAACAGAAAGCAGTAGTCATAGCTCTAGGTTATGGTCATTCACAAGTATTTTATAGTTTTAAATATATTTTCCTCATTAAAATTACATATTTCTATACTTTAATGTGATTGGTTCTGACTTTTGCTTACTG